GATGCATCTGACCAGGGCCCATGAAATTATATAGTTTGTGTAAATATTTAGTCACCTGATCTGATATGAGGAAGAAGGTCTTCCTTGCTTCAGCCTTCCCCCAGGTCTGCAGCACCTGGCGTTCCTAAAGGCCAGTCTTGCTGATAAAGACTGATGTGAAGAAGATATCCTGTGTCACCAGGACCCCCGTGCCACCCAGCAGTAGGCCCACATTTTCTCTGGTCTTCCTTTAGCTACTTCTGTACTTAGAGAAACCCTTCTTGCTTTTTACCTCGGTAGCCAGATGTGATTCCAGGTAGGCTTTGGTTTTCCTAGCCATATGTCTACATGTTTGGACAGTGCCTCTCTGTTCTTCCCAGGCTACCTGTCCATGCTTCTGCCTTCTGTATCCTTCCTTTTTTGTGTTTGAGTTTAGCTAGGAACTCCTTGTTCAAACATGCAGGCCTCCTGGCATTTTGTGTCTGAATTCCTGCTTGTTGGGATGATTTGCTTTTGCACATGGAAGAGGTAACCCATGCATATGAAGTAGCTTTTTTGGACCCACTCTTTCCTCCCAGACCTTATGCTATGGGACTTCTCCACGCAGGGGTCACATCTTCTCTCCTGAAGTATCTGCATGGAATATGGACTGAATGTCACATGCCAGAGATGTTCGTCGTCTACTGAGAATGGCACTTGGCTGTGCTTTGCATGAGTAGGGATCTCCATGTACTGTTACAAGAGTCTGCACTTCCTTCACCTTCCTTCCTTACCTACTCTGTTGATTAAGATTTTTAGTCTTGCAGGCATGTGTTGCTGGTCTAAGCAGGTACCACAGCCAAGGACATCACCTTTATTAGAAAACAGCTGAAACTTGTCAAACATTAGTAACTCAGGGAATGTAGCATTTTCAAGGTATTCAAACTATCTTAAATCCACTATATCCACTGATACCCAGAAAAAATTTGTCCCACAATGTAGAAGAGTTGCAACTGACAACTCACAGAATATAGAACCTGGGAGTTGAATTTAACTGGTGTTTGGACTGCTTTACAGCTTCAACTATGTCTATATGTGCAAGAAATTTCCATACATTTGCTATTCTATAAATAGTATACAAAAAGCATTGCTTTTTCAGTCTTAATTAGAGGTCTGATCTCACAGCATGTTTTTTCGTCTCAGTAAATAGGATAGAGTAGAGTAGAATAGAATAGAATAGAATAGAATAGAATAGAATAGTTGGAAGTCACCTACAATGATCATTTAATACAACCACCCACTCTGGATTGAATCAGGCCCTGTGATTTCAGCTGTCATTAGACAGGGACCTAACATGTCAGTGTGTATAAACTCCATGTGAAAAGAACAAAATGAATAAAAGGGACAAATCAACATAGAGCTGGACACATTTGTGTACACAAAACAAAACTTTGAAAGCAAGGTTATGTTATAAACATTTTTATAGTTAGCATGCATACAAAGGAAAATACTCATCTAGCACTTCTGTGGCAGCACAGGTATGGTAGTTTGAATGTCTATAGACATAAAGCCTTGAAATTTGTATTTCTTATTGTATTAACACTGGGAGAGTAACTTTATAATACACTTCTGACAGGAAATAGGTACTTAGTCCACTAACAATTACGTTCACATTTCACATCACCTTAGTATTAATATTCACATCACGTTAGTATAAAATTTTTCAATGGAGAAATCTTGATATCTCTTTTACTTGAAGTGATGGGAGAGCTCCCTGACCAGTGTTTTGTAATTTTTGTCCTTAAAAGAGAGGCACACATATCAAAATCTGAACTCTGTCTCAGAGACGCAGATTAAAGACAACCTGCCTTGCGTTGATTCATATCTGATTTTATTTCTGAGAATTTTTACTGGCTTTTTCCTTAAGTGGTGTCTGCTTATTAGGTACATATCACTGAAATTAGTATTTTTTAATACAACAGACTGCATTATCCTAGTCATCCCCACCACCACCATCTGATTACCCTGAGTGATGGACATACCTATATAGCAGGGAGATTCTAGAAGTCTGTGGCACATGGTCAAAAGATACACTTGTGTGATTTTTTGTTGTTTCCCAGTATGTCTAGTTCAACTAGTTATAACCTGCTTATGCATGCTGCCTGTCTGAGGGGAGTGCCATTTAGCATCATTGTTCTGTTGCAGATTTTACTGTGCCTAAATGTACTATGCACAGTGCCAGCTTGAGTCTCTTTACTGCTGGCAAAAGATAGCCTGTTGATGGGTAGCTGAAAATTCATAGCACGTATTCGTGTCAGAATGGATATGTTTTTTGCTGAAATGCAGGTCAAATGTTGCTAGATGACTTTGATTATTTCTTCCAGGTAGGGGAAAAATTGGGGATCAGGAAGGAATGATAAGGATGGGAAGAATTAACTGTTGGAGGGCATAAGGAGAGGAATTGAGGGGAGATATAACTCTGCTCAATCTGCAAAATCTTCATCCAAAACTAGAAGGAAGTGAGCTCTTCCCTGACAGTGTAGCTGTGTATTTACATTTGCTCTTCTGCTGGTGTGTGCTTTATGTCCCATCACAAGGGAGTTAAACTTTTTCTAACATTAAAATGTAGCAGAATCTGTCTTGATCTAGTGTTAGCTGACCAATTACCTCAGGTGAACTAGTTGTGCAGTCTTGTTTGAAAGACAAGCAATGGTAAAAAAATAAAAGGAGTAAGGAGAAGAGAAAGCATTTTATTGTTTATACTCTTACGTTTTTGTTTCATTTACATTTTTAAATTAGTTCCCACTTGCCTGAGCTGTTTGAAGCCCATCTGAATTATGTTTTTCTGAATAATTTTATCTTGTTATTAAAAACATTTCTTTTATCTTTCTCACAATTAATGAGGGAAGAAAATACTTTTCTGCGGGTTTTGCTCATTTACCAAATATCTCTGCTTCATTCCTCACATCAAGGAAGTTTATGGGTTTTGTTTTGTAAAACCAGTGGAGTTAGGTGGCAGCTTTTCATTGGTATTCTTTTTCTGGAAAATTTAAACATTGCTGAAAATGTTGCATCCATTAGGAAAATGAGGATTCCCTAGCTGCTCTGCTTGAGGTTTCTTGGCAACATGACTTTTTTGCTTTCAGAGAGAAAGCAAAACTTGAGAAGAGCTTTGTGGACAGACAGCTGACTGGTTGAAAGATCCTCTTACAATTATCCTGGATTTTTTGCTTGAAAAACTCTTCCTAAGATGCAACTCACATTCTTTTAGCTTTTGCATGAAACTGGGGAGTATGCATGTGTGTGCACATGGATTCATGGATGGTTTTGGTAGAAGTGAAATTCCATTCTCCAGGAAGCTTCATATGCAAGTGGCTTTAGCAGCCATTCATCTCCCTTCCTACTCTGAGGACATTTTTTTGAAGAGCTAACTACTTAGAGAGGACCTACCATTAAATAGGTGTTCTGAACTTCTGGTGTCTTCAGAACATGTGAGTGGTGCCTCTAAGAAGATAAAAAAATGAAAAGTAAAACTACTCCAGGTAGTCCCTTGTATTGTTTCTCATTGTAATCTAATCTTGGTTCCATGAACAGTATTTGAAATTATTACTCATATTATCTTCAAGATAGTATTGTGTTTCCTACCTACTGATTTAGTGAGTTCCAGGTAAGAGAGAATTAATGGCAGTTACACAACTCTCAAAGTCTTGAGCTGAACTTGAGACTTTGAGAATAACGAATCAAAAGTTTTCTAAAATTGGTAGACGAAAGTTCTTGTTTGCTTTCTGATTCAGATTCATGCTTTTAAATCCTTCATTTATGTTTGTTATGTCCAGACCCTTGCTTTCTACATAAAGGGAAGTTGACATTTTCCCCCAGTAATTAATATCATTCTTTGGCTGTAAGTGCTTAATATCGTAATGTAATCAAGGGAGCTAACAACTTCATCTGGGTAGTATTCCAGGCTGGTGTGTTTACCTAAAGAAAGAACACTGGCAAACTATTTAAGAACAGACAGAAAAAACTGTATGTGACGTTTCTACACATGCACACTTAACAGTGACCTTTAGGTGGTGGTCCCAGGCAGCAGTGATAGTTAGAAGCCCATTCAGACTGGACTTCTGTATTCCAATGCCCCACAGAAGGACTAAGAGTCTCAAATACCGTAAAAGTTTTGACATCTAGGCAACAGTCTTGACAGAGATTGGTCTGAGATCCAGGAGCTGGTCTGAACACAAGGCTGCATACCAGGCTATGAAAATGAAGTGCTTTCATTCTCTGGGGTCTGCAACTGAACTGAGGCATACTCCAAAGTCTGTTCCTTAATGTGGCAGTGGTCTCATCTGCCTCTGTCTTCTGGTTTGCAGTAATGATCTGATAGTGAAAGGCCTCCGTTGCTCCAGTAGACAATACATGATTTTTTCCCCCAGGCAAAGAATCTAGGGGAGAAGCAGAAGGGAGGTAGTGTGTTCTGCTTCTGTTCTGACCACTATCACATTCTTTGTCCAAGTGTGATATTAAAACAAGGCAGTGGCACTGAACATCTTCTCAGCTTGATGTAAAAATTGCGAGTTTGAAGATTATGTTCCAGCTACAGTACAGATAATTTAGCTCCTGTGCATGATCAGTTGGATGTGGATTTCTTCATTTTCTTTCTGTCTGTGTTGTCAATGACTGTATCTCCCAGCAGAGTAGTATTGTGCCAGATTTCTTCTGGTTATTCTACAAAACACTTCATAACGCAAATTATGGGAAATTAAAGGAAAAGCTGACCTAACTTATTAACTCATCATAATGAATATTCAATCATAGTTCATTGTTAAGCTTGTCCCTTTGCAATCTCTCCTTTCTCTCTTTTATTTCAGTCCCCTCTGCAGTCCCTATGATGCATCAGGTGAGTCGTACTACCAATAGCATCACACTGTCATGGCCTCAGCCAGACCAGCCCAATGGAGTAATCCTGGATTACCAGCTACGCTACTTTGATAAGGTGAGTAGAAAGTGATACCGTGCTGATTGTTCTATAGAGAACAGAGAAATCTTCTGTCTGGGAGATGCACCCCTGGATCAGAATGAACAAGGTGGAGGAAAGAACAGAGGAGGAAAGAACAAACTGTAGCAGAATTATTACCAGAAGTAATACACGCTTCATCTGACATCAGTCCATGTGCATTTCCCAACTTGGAAACATCTATGGACATTGCAAATTAAAACAAATAGAAGACACTTGCTTAAACTTAAAAGCTGTGGCTAATAATAAGTTTAGCACCAGCTGACACAGGTAACAGCAGAAGGAACTCAATTTTCTAAATGTGTTTATTGGAATTGGACTGACTGCAAAAGTCTGTCATGTTTGTGAGGGAAGTCTTGTGTCCCCATTTATGCCTGGACAGATGTTTCTAAGAAAATTTTCGAGGAGGGATGCACTTTTTCATTCACTAAGTGATAAATACCAGTTACCTCTTTGTGTGCTGGAATTGCAGGGTGGCAAATACAGACTTGTCTTCCATTCACATGTTTTGTGACTCCTAATCCATCTGATTTGAGGGGAAGAGGTATGTGGGGCTATTCAGACAAGCTCCCATTCCATATTCTTGATCTTTCACATAAATATTTTTGCAGGATTGTGCGGGGCTACTGTTTTTCTAGTGGTAAAAGGGACTGCTATTTGTGATGTCTAGCAGCTTCCTGGATACAGCATTACACGTGTTCTTACTCTGGATTCTCGTAGGAGAATAAATGAGTTTGGAGTTTGTAGAAAGCAAATCACAGGACCAGGTAGTTTTCTCTCTCACTCTTGTTTAGATTAAGTCTTTAGCAGAGCCTAGGGAGTCTTTAGCAGAAGCCCAGGCCTAAGGGAATGAAAAGCAGTAGTGAGGAATGAGTAGTGTGTGGGAAAGTAAGGTCTTGAATAGCAGCTGTGGTTGGGAGGCTCTGTAACAGGTTCAGAGAATAATGGGCTGATGTGGAAACTATCATGTCTTGATGAGGAGAGCGAGCAGCGAGGGCAGAAGTTTCACATTCTTTTTTGGTCACTGACATTCACAGGCAGAAGATGAGGATAATTCATTCACTTTAACTAGTGAAACCAACATGGCCACCATATCAAGTCTGAGCCCAGGCAAGATCTATGCCTTTCAAGTACGAGCTAGAACAGCAGTGGGCTATGGCCCATACAGTGGGAAGATGTATTTCCAGACTTTAACAGGAGGTAAGTGCTACCATTTTGTAGTCAGATCTCTATATGATCATCTGTCACTTGTGTGTGTCCCTGAGTGTATTAGCTTATCCTCTGGAGGACTGCTACTAGACACTCCTGCTCAACTTGTATTTCTGTATATCTTAATTTGCATATGCAGATTTGTTCACTCAAAGAAGCTTCATGCTATCGGAGTGTATTGTTTACACTACTGCCATACTCCCCAGTCCTGTTCCTTGTTGCCTCTCTACCTCTGACCAGCAGGAGCTGAGTATGTCAGTAGAACTCTCTTCAGGGAGATGTTGCAGTACGTAGCACTATACACTGCTGTAGTTTGACTTCCAGCTGGACATCTTACATGGGACACGGGATGTCTCATGAGACATCTTGCAGCTGAAAGCTCTGTGAAAGTCTTAAAGACAGGTGGGACATAGGACACAAAGATAGATGGGGCACAAGCATATATGAGGAAGCTTGCTTTCCAGCAGTATGGAATTAGTTTGTATGGATCAAAGGTACTCATATATGTCATCTGCAAGCTAAATTGATAGGTGACAATGGGATCAAAGCCCAGGTGTAGAGCTAACCTATACTTAAGTGGCTAGTTAGGTGTCAGTGGACCAGGGGATGGAAAAATGGACTCAGGAGCACTGGCTTTTCAGAAGTAGAAGGAAGGCACTGGAGAAGCATAGTGACTGGGAACCAAAGGGCTGGTAGGGATGGAATTACAGGTGAGACCCAGCTGAGTAGAAGGGAAACTCTGACAATTCCTGTCCTCTGCATCTGTGTGTGTGTATGCATGTGTCTTCCGTTCTAGGGGAACGTTCGGAGATGGTGCAGGACCGACTGCCGCTTATCGTGGGGTCAGCACTCGGTGGTCTAGCCTTCTTGGTGATTGCTGCCATTGCCATCCTTGCCATCATCTTCAAGAGGTGAATTCCTTGACCTGCTCATGTGCACTTCAGACAGTGGAACTTTCTTACCCCCACAACATAACCCCGTCCCAAGGGAAACAGCCTGATCTACATTTATCCACATGTCCTTGGGATGCCATTTTGTAATTAAGGAAAGATCTACCCCATTATTCCTATCTGAGAAACCTCTCTTTGGTAAACCACTCACATACTCAGCTGATATTTGGCTAGTTAGCAATATGAACACAAGGAAAATATTTTAAAACTCGTGCTCAAAAGGTATTTAAATGTATCACTGTAAAGAAGGGACTGTAAATTGCATTTTAGGCAAGCAAGTGGAGAATGAAACTGTAGTGGAGAAGGAGTGGTGGAATAAGTATTCAGGTCTAGTTATTTAGAAGGTGCTAAGTATCCTGTCACCAAGAATCAAGGGCTCATTTGCTGAGGAGTAAAATCTATACAACCCCTATGGTTCCATGAAACACTAACTCATAAAATATAGGTTAAAGAAAACAGACACCACTTTCCATTTTGGAAAGAATAAAGGGCATATAAGTAATTGTAGAGATAATCGGTTATAGCAAAAATAGAAGGACAAATTTTAAAGAAAAAAAAGTAAGAGTTGCTGCTTTCGTAGAGATACAAAAGTAAACAATGGGGGTTTTGTTATTTGAAGAAAAGAAACAGTCATTACCCACTCCTTGAATTTACTGAGGTTTGAACTTAATCCCCTAGATTGTCAGTAATGGATTCTGTATCTTTTCTCTACTGTGCCTCTGCACAAGAGGGACTTTTTAGCTTTTTCTGCTGACCTAAAAAATGTATAAACTACTTAACTTTAGAAATTGACATCTAGTTTTAATGATTTCTTTTTTGTTGTCTTCCCTTATCCACATTTGTTTTCTCCTTCTGTGTATACTCTCTTTTAATATTTTTCTTTCCAGAAAGAAAAAAATTATAAAATATTGTTATAATTGAATTGTTGCCTTCTTTTGTAGCTTTGAACTGTTAAAAATATCAATTCTTGTTACAGCTGGAAATGTGATATTTTGTGCACAACTCAATAAAGCATATATTTTTCTAAAAAAAATAAACTAAACCCAGAATAAGTTAATACTACCAAAACTGTGTTGGGGAAAGACATTTATGGGTATCTGTAAATATACATATAAGGAAATATCATAAAAAATTGATCCATTTATACTTAAAGGATAATGTACAGTTAACAGACAATTGTTCAGAAGAAGCAGAGATACCAAATTTCTATTTTAAATTTGTCCTCCATAAGAAAAGTAAGTTTGAAGATGCAGGTAATGAGGAACACCACTTGAAATGAGTAGTTCTTTAAGAAGTTGAACATATGTAGAGTCAAATGCTATAACTTTAGCTTGTTTTTATAAATTGTTGATACACATTTTTCAGGCAATATGCAATGTGAAACACCTATTTTAACTAATTGTTTTGGGAGTTTTTTAAGATGGAAGACCATTAATATGTTAGATAATCCATAAAAAAACCTTAAAGTAGACCTGACTTTCAGGTGCAACAGCAGTTAGAGCTCTTAGGTGTGTGCCCCCAGTAAAGCCAGTTTCTTTGCACAACAAAACAGAATTTCAAGGTAGAATTGTCTGCGTTTTTGAAATTTTAGCAGAATTTTAAGAGATAAGCCTGACAAGTAAGAATAATACAGTTATCTGTTAGAATGACAGAATTAACTATGTTCATAAGGAAAAATAACGTTTCATGATACTCTGCGTTCAGAAGCTAGTTGAATCAGCAGCTAAAAGGTCTTGTGCTGAAACAGCAAAATATATGGGTTGACGCAAATCCATGCATACAGCAGAGATACTGCAGGATAACACAGAGTTTGATTTACAGTCTCATCTAATTGATAAGATGATTATAAACTAGCATGAATTGTAGATTTTTGAGGAAAAAATGAATGTTGTTGGGAACAAAGAAAGTGGCTTGAAATTGGAAAATATATTTAGAGCAAACAAAGAATAAGACGAAACTTAGAAAATAATTAGATCGTGTGGGAAAAAATGCTTGAATTGCATACCTTTAAAGGGAGAATGAAATCTGAGAAATGCCTGTGTTGAGAAGGACCTATACTTACTGGAAATCAGTTGCATATATGCAATAAAAATTACAGTAATAAAGACAATACCTGTTTTGATCTGCACATGCAAAAATAGCATCATGGTACAGATTTCTGTCCCTTTGGCTCTTTGTTGTTGTGTTTGGGTACCATACTTATGAAAAGAATAGCCAACGTAAATGCTATTAAGAGTCCAGGAGGAAAAACAATTGGGAGAAATCTATACAAATTAAGTATTAGAGTAAATGGCTCTTAGAATGTTTTCAAAGAAATTAAAAGGCATCACAGGAGATGGCTTAGATTACTATCAAAAAGAATCATTTGTTGTAATTTGATGAAATTAAAATGCAAATTTAGCCTGAATAGCAAGAAAATTTCCAAGACAGTGATGTTAAACTGTAATATTTTTTTTCAGGGTAGTGATGGAGGCCCTCTCATTTGTCATATCTAAAGTGAGGATGCAAACAGTGGTGTAAAAACTACCACATAGAAAACAAGCATGTACTGGTTACCTGGAGATGGACAGGATCTTAACACCCATCTTGTATCCCTAAATTCAAGGGTTCTCTGAGCCTTGCATTGAGAAGCCTACCCTGACATCCTGTGAGAGACTCTTGTGTGTGTTTTGACTTTACTTTCCTTTATGTCCTGCAGTAAAAGGCGCGAGACTCCATACACAGACCGCCTGCAGCAGTATATCGGTACACGAGGTAAGTGGTTTTGAGCAACAGAAGGCAAGGGCCTGTCTCTTTTCAGGAATCATTACCACCTGTATGTCTCAGGGTTTTATTCTGGTGATGTTTTGGGCTGTCTCCTCCGCTGCAGGACTTGGAGTGAAGTATTATATTGATCCCTCAACCTATGAAGATCCCAATGAAGCTATTCGAGAATTTGCCAAGGAGATTGATGTGTCCCTCATCAAGATTGAGGAGGTTATTGGATCAGGTAGTGTGAGAATCTCCAGATTTTAAAGTGCCTTCTTGTTCACCTTGAGAACTGGCACGCTGCGGGGCTGAAATGGACCCATGGATCCATGGTACATCAAGTGTGTCAGGATTGCTAACCTTCATTTTTACCAAAATTCATCTTAACCTACTTACCCTTAGATGCTGACTCCAAACCAAGTTTAAAACACCCTAAAACTCAGAATTCCTCATTTGAACCTTGAATATGTAGTCTCCAATCTTCATCAAGAACTTTACCTTAATCTGAACAGTCCTAATAACCCTATTTCCAAGCAGTGCCTGAAGTCATCCACAGTAGAATGCTTTAGTACACCTGACTAAAATTCATTGCTGTTTCCTTACTTGAGGTGTGTTTCTTCCCTTCCTGACAGGAGAGTTTGGAGAGGTGTGCTTTGGGCGCCTAAAACACCCAGGGAAGCGTGAATACACAGTAGCTATTAAGACTTTGAAGTCAGGTTACACAGAGGAACAGCGACGGGAGTTCCTGAGCGAGGCCAGCATCATGGGGCAATTTGAGCATCCCAATGTCATCCACCTGGAGGGTGTGGTCACCAAGAGCCGACCAGTCATGATTGTCACAGAGTTCATGGAGAACGGATCACTGGATTCCTTCCTCAGGGTACCACAACCAGAGTCTCCCACAGTCGTTACCTCTTCATCTTGCTGTGTGCCAGTCTCAGATCTGATAATTTTGCCTTTTCTTCCTTTTCACTCCTATCTCTTTAAGTCCTCAATTGCCCTCTTCAGGTGCAGTAGAAATAATAGCAAGTTACCAGAGTAAGTGGTTTTGGGCCATCATGGTGAAAATATTTCAAAAACTCAACCATCATATAACATTTTTTCAGTATTTTAGACTTCTCAAACTCCAGTAATTAATGTAAACAGTACCAAATTGTTTATCTTTGTACACAGCCTTTCAGTTGCTTATGCGCATGTTCCAGTTTGCCTTTCTAGTCATGTATATAAGACTTTATTCCACAGAATATTTTCAAGTTTCAACATTGTAATGAAGTAATGAATCTTGCAGTTATTTTTAGACTCATAGTTTTCAATGCTTTTTCTAGTAATGAAACAAAAATGCAGGCATTTTTTTGGTATAGATGGCCACTTCTCTTTTTTACTGGTTCATACACTAATTCAACCACAAATGCTTTGGCAGGTACATTTTGAAGAGTATGTGAACCCATTGTGTAGAACTGCATAAGCCCATTGTAAAGATCTTAGTAAGAGCAGAATTGTCTACTGCCATTCATTTAGTCATCTTAGCGCGACTGGGCATAGGATGCTAAAGGAGAATGTGGCCACAAGAGGAGAATTGCCTTCAGAAAAAGATAACTACTAGTGTCTGATTTCATTTGAGGTTACTTTAAGCACTTTCTTATTCGCTGTCCCTGAACCTTCAGATTTTGGCTGAAGATAAGATTTATGTTCTCTAACTTCATAGATCCACCTTGTTACCTTGTTTTTTGTTAATCTTCCCTGTTGGCTTTGTGTTTTGTGATCATAAAAGCTTCTGTTTGCCTCCTCTCTTGCAGCAGAAGGAGGGACAGTTCAGTGTGTTACAGCTGGTAGGAATGCTACGGGGGATTGCAGCTGGCATGCGCTATCTTTCCGACATGAACTATGTGCATCGTGACCTGGCAGCACGTAACATCTTAGTCAACAGTAACCTGGTGTGCAAGGTGTCAGACTTTGGGTTGTCCCGCTTTCTGGAGGACGATGCTTCAAATCCCACCTACACTGGAGGTCTGGTGAGTTACTGCAATGGTGCGAATTAGTCAGCAGTGCTGACAGCTGTAGTTATTTTCTTTGTTCCTCTTTGATTTGGTGTACCCTTTTTAGTCCATCTTGAGACCATAGAGAACAGTGGAGTAGAGTCTTCTGTCTCTGGGGCAATTTGTTCCAAACCAGCAAAAAACAAAGATAGCAATATCTGATTCACTCTGCCTGGTGAAGTCTTGGTGCTGTTCTTTTTGGCATGACGGTGAATAGGTCAAACCTCATAGCCTGATGTAGCTGTTATCTTCCTCCATTCATTAGCTTTTTACAGGAAGGATAAAGGACTGAAAGAGAGATTGAAATCCTGTACCACCACCCTTTGAGGAAAGAGTTCTTTTTTTCCTACAGAAAAGATAAATGGCCTAAGTATATTTATGGGCTTATAACTAACCATCAAATGAACTTATTGTCTATGAAGTTCTGGCACTTTATACACATACTACAAAAAGGGTGGGAGTATAACAGGTGGGTTGAAGATGAAGGGGATACAGAAGAATCCAGTCACTGAAAAGCAAAACAATTTTTAGATATATCCATTTTGAAGAACCACCACCTGAATGATACTTCATCTTGCCAGTCATACCTGAAGTCAGAGAGGTCAAGATGGAAAGAGAAAGAACCTAATGCTAGCCACTGAGTATAGTGTTGCAGGTTAGGATTATTTAAATGGCTTTAGATTTCCAAATGATTGCAACTTTCAGGAGGATTTTACTATATGCTGCTTTCAAATGCTGTAAAGTAGAGGTCTGTAGCAGAAAGGAGGCACGATTCTCTCTTTTCATCTAGATTTGTCAATAAAACAAGGTTGAAACCTTGAACATGATTTGAATTTAAACCAACAGTGTCTACAAGACAGAATCAAATTGACTGTCACCCCATGCTCAGAGTTGTGTTGTGCTGTTTCACTGATGTCATTTTCACAAATAGTCCTTATCTCACTAATGTTATGGTTGCTTTCTGTCTGCTTTCTAGGGCTGCAAAATCCCTATCCGTTGGACTGCCCCTGAAGCTATCCAGTATCGCAAGTTCACCTCCTCCAGTGATGTCTGGAGCTATGGCATTGTAATGTGGGAGGTGATGTCCTATGGTGAAAGACCTTACTGGGACATGTCCAATCAGGATGTAAGTTTTAGAAGTGGTGAGAATGTACATCCACCTCTCTATTCTATATCAGTTCAAGCAGAGAAAAATCATAAACACCAACTCACTGAAGGTCTTTTGTCTTTTATTTTCCCAGCCATGATAAAGCCTTGTTCTTCTTTTGCTGCAGGTAATTAATGCCATTGACCAGGACTATCGCCTGCCACCACCCCCAGACTGCCCAACTGTTTTGCACCTGCTGATGCTTGACTGCTGGCAGAAGGAACGGGTTCAGAGACCCAAGTTTGAGCAGATAGTCAGTGCCCTAGATAAAATGATTCGCAAACCATCTGCCCTGAAAGCCATTGGCACTGGGACCAGCAGGTGAGATGAGGATTAAATGCAAAATAATAGGACTTGTCTCTTGATAGGCATCATGAGGAACAGAAAACAATAAATCTTTTTTTTTTCCAACCCTCCCATCTGAGACTGGGAACAAAAAAGAAGAAAAAAAAAAAAGAGAAAGCAGGTTGGAAGAAATATGTATCCTAATTCATTTAATGGGTGATGAGGAGTCGTGAGTGCTGAATGTGACAGGAGATAAATCTCAGTGAGTTGCACTGAGGATGAATGAGTGAGGGATCTTAGGGAATGAAGGTAGGGGACAAATCTGAGTGTGGTTGCATAAGATATTCTGTGATCACACAATACTGTGTGACCACAAGAGATGATGAAGGAAAAGAAGACCTTAGCTTATGGAGAGAAGAAATTCTCCAGAAAATAATAATTAGAACTGCAGCTTGCATCCCGTATTTTCCCAACTGCATTTTGCAACATGATGGAACAGGGGGCAGGAGGTCAGCAAAGGAGAAGTCTCAGCGGAATAAATGGTGCCAAGGTTAGATGACTGCTGGGCTGATGACAAAATTACATCCTGCTGGCCTGGAGGGTTTTTCCCTGTGGTTATAAATCTTGTCTCTGTGGAATGCACTCCACATCTGGGGGAGGGGGAAAGTATCTAGTGACTTCTGGTTTACTAAAAGCAGCAAGTGTTATAGCTTCAGGACAGATTTAGATGATGGGGAGAAGAGCAAATACCATGTGTGAACAGTCATTTCTTTGGCCTTTTACTACTATGCGTTTATCTGATGGGTGTTGGAGCTCAAACAACACACTCATTCTCTCATAGGTTACTATCTGATCCAAGGAAAGCATTTATGAGAGGAAGACTTAGTCACGAAGTTGAAAAGGTATATAAGGTCTCATCTTTCCTTCAGAAACCTCATCACTGAAGCTCTTTGCCCAGCTACTAGGCCTAGACCCAGAAAGTGTGGAAAGATTATGGGCAATGAGAAGAGAATGTGCCTGAGCGAGTATGGGCAATGGGAAGGATCAATTTCTTGGGTTGGTTGACTGGTTTTAGGCAGAAAAAGGGACACAGGTAGCCAAGAAACAGCATATCATGGTGGGAGTTCATGAATCAGGGCATGAAGAACAAATGCCATTGTTCTTCATTCTGTACTCTTCGGAGGTTGTGTTCTCTTCCTCTCATATCTTTTACTTTACTAGTGTGGTCAGCTGAAGTTGATAACTTGGGTTTTAGAACCTGCCTCTTTTGCAGACCATCTCAGCCTCTCCTGAGCAACTGTTCTCCAGATTTCCCTTCACTCAGCAATGCCCATGAGTGGTTGGATGCTATCAAGATGGGCCGTTACAAGGAGAATTTTGACCAGGCTGGTCTGATGACGTTTGATGTCATATCCCGCATGACTCTAGAGTAAGTAGTGGGACAGAGAGCAAAAGATACCAGACACTGAGTTTTCCATGCAGAAAGTGAAAGCAGTCTGAGAAATGTTCAGTAAGGGCTACGTGGAGAATATATACACATGAAAAAGGAGAGGGAAGCCAGAGCAAAGTAGCTGCTGTTTCTTACATATTGCTAGGGCCTCTGGGCATCGTCCATACCATGATACATTTGTAGTGTGTTTCTATAAGCATTTGTTCTGATCCAGTGTGCGTTAGAAAACATATTGTCAGTGTTGCAGAGAAACTGTTACATCAGAATGTTCATGACAGCTACCACAGGTAATAACCACTTTTAAGTAGGTATGTAGAATCAGCCACACCATCTACTGGACTGAAGTGTTACTTAGAAGACAGGAACCAGGAAAAGGAACATTCTTGGAATCATAAAATGGTTTGGATTGGAAGGGACCTTTAAAGATTATCTGGTCCAAGACCCTTGCCATGAGCAGGGGCACCTTTCATTAGATGATGCTTCTCAGAGCCCTGTCCAACCTGACGTTGAATAGTTACAGGGATGGGGCATCCAGAACTTCTTCTGGCAACCTGTTTCACTGTCTCACTACCCTTTCTTGTCTCTCTAAAACTACCCTTTTTCAAACTGTTGTGCCTTGTCCTGTCACTGCAGGGCCTGGTAAAAAGTCTTTCTCCATCTTTCTTGTAAGCCCCCTTTATATATTAACAGGCTGCAAGAAGGTCTTTCTGGAGCCTTCTCTTCTCCTGGCTGAACAACTCTAACTCTCCTTTTTTTTTCATAGGAGAGGAGTTCCAATCCTCTGATCCTTTTTGTGGCCCACTTCCACTGCTTCTTTTTGTACCTACCAAGTTCTGCCAACGCCCCCCTCCACCCACACACATTTGTCAAGCAAAAGCAGAACCCTTGTCAGCAGTTTCTCAGAATATACAGATATACGCACATATATATCCATACACATTGATTTGGATGTACAGCAAAATGGACTGAGAGCATTCAGAACAAGCAGCCTATTTTAACAGTTTCCATGTCTTTTGTTCTTTTGCAGAGATATCCAGCGTATTGGCATCACCCTCGTCGGTCACCAAAAGAAGATTCTAAACAGCATCCAGCTCATGCGAGTCCATTTGAATCAACTTGAACCGGTTGAAGTGTGATGTTTACACCATCCTTATTCCACTAGTCTCAAACTCTGAAAAGGTTCTGGGGGAATTCAGAGGGATTTTCACTGTAAGAAAAAATCGTCAGTACGCTACTTGAAGACTTAATGCACCCAGAGTGCACGCTACATGTCCTGTTCCATGAACAAAAACAAAGCCTTGCTATGATTTGAAAGCAGAGCTAAATGACTGGTGACAATTAGTTGTGGTTGACATCATACATTGGGAATGGGTTCGGGGTGGGAAGGTTATAATAACATGGGGCGGAGATGGGATAATAACTTGGACAGATCACAAGCACCTGTTGCCTCTTCTCTGCCAGCGAAAGGTATCTGACAACTTTACAAAGTCATCAGCAGGCTTTGTCTATGGCCAAGAGCCCAGCAAAGCTACAAAGACATAATAAAGGCAAAAAAATTAGCATTTTTTTCAGAAGAATGGTCTGAGAGATTATTATTCAGATGGAGCATGAGGCTATCACTTGGTATGCCAGCTCAGTCCAGAACTGAAGTTCCAGCTGGTGCACAATATGTGGTAAGCAATAACACATTACCTGGTGAAGAAGTTGAGAGTAAAGGGTTCAAAATTCAATGCTATTTCACATTTCACATGCTGTTCTTGGATCTGCTTCGTGGTAGAAATTACTGATCTTTTCTGGTTATGTGAGGAACAGTCCATCCTTGGTGCTACACAACCCTATTTATGGGACTGCAACAGAATGGATAAATAAGAATTCGTAGAACCAATCCTGCTGGATCTACAAGTGGAGAGGGAAACAAATAGGTTCTGGTTCTCACAAGCCTGTTCTTATGAGGAAAGCCGTGATACTCAGAAATCCTGAGTACCCAGAATTTTGATTTTGTTCTCTTCTGACCCCCTTACAGACACTGAAGAGTGTGACAAAATCCAAAACCCTTTGCTCTTGAAAAATACTTCTTTTTCTCACCCTGGCCCTTGGGCACAGCTGTTTGAATATTGGTTTTGAAGAAAATGCAGACCTGTGGTAGTAAACTTTAAATAGACAATTGGAACAAGGAAGGTGAAACTCACAAATTTTTGTCAAAAGTGATCAGGGAATGGTACCAGTCCCACAAGTCACTTCAGTCCTTAAAAATCATTAACAATGTTCTTGAGATCGACTATGTTGTTTCGTAGAAGTACATGAGAGTGACCAGAATGGCAGAGCTTATATACCCCTTCAGACAGACTTAAGGAAAGATCTGCTTTGAGAAGGGGCAGAGTTTCAGGGCTATATCTCTCTGTCTATCCCTATGCAGGAGTAAGAAAACATGATACTGAGCTTGAGAGGAAAACTCATACACTTGGGGAAAACTATACACTAGCTACCTCATTAATACATAGGAAGGGAAATAGAAATGTCCCTGTTAAACAAGACCCCAGTGATGGTACCTTTTTTGTGTCTAGAGAGGAAATAACCCTGACTGTTCCAATATGTGCTCATCTGCTGGCTCACTGTGAACTAGTCATGAACTTACTGTATTTCTCCAGCTGTCAAGGTTAGAATATCACAACTACTTCAGATACTACTCCTGTACAAATTTAAGGATTCCCCCAGTCAACCCAGCAATTGAAGACTTTCTGTCTAAAGACATGTTTAATAGTGATTGAAGAGTCCAATAATATGATGGGAGGTGCTCCAGAATAGTTGCTCTAGAAGCCAACACAGTTCAGGCTCTTTGTTAAGCCATTAGAGCAACATTATAATTAATTTTTTTTAGCTGACGAGGGAAAACAGCAGGGCATTCTTTCAAGATATAAAAAAGTCAATACAAAAACAATACAAGGAAACATGAATAAAACATTCATGGCAGTACAAAGAGAGTGTGAAGGTTTAAAAAAACCCCACACATCAGCCTAGAGTCCAACCCTAGAAAATTTCAGTCTGTGCTTTTTAAGGGGTTTCTGTAAACTTGTAATACTCACACATCCAGTCCCATGTATGCTGACTGACTGTCAGCTCCACCCACGGCATCTGAGACAGAACAAGTGTTGTCCTTTTCAGAAAGCATATTGAGCACAAGATGTTGAGGGGAATCTGTGGTCTCTAGCACCTTCCATATATATTCACCAGAGGACAACAGTGCATATATGCATCTTTATATATGAGTATATTCTAGAAGTTCTCTATGTGGCATTTGGGGAAACGTGGCAGCCTTTCTTTTCCATGCCTTGGGTGGCCAGGATCAGTGGAGAAATTAGCAATCTAGTTCAAATCCTATGGCCTCTTTTCAGCCTGGCGGAAATTTATATGCAGAAAATACACTATGGGAGCCTTGTCTGAATCTTATTCTATTGTCAATGAGGTTTAGTAGCCCCTTGTGGGGAGCTGCAGTGAATTAACCTGCTCACTGGTAGTTCAGGCAGTACAACGTTTACTTTAGCATATGAAGTGTATTGCAAAGTTGTTTTCACAGTCAGTGGAAAGGGATTTACTTGCTATACCAAGGAAGGCATGTAGTGATTGGCCGTCATAGATCTCCTCTTCCTCCTCTTCTAAGGCATTTTGAAATCTCCCCATGATAGTTCCAAGTCAAGTGTCAAGGTGTCATGGCTGTGGCTAGAACTGCACAGGGACAGACTTGGCATCACAAACTGAGTGCAAATGGATAACTCTTTTCTCTAAGTCTCTCCATTCTCTTTATTCCCAGTCTGTTCCTTATTTTCAAGTGCTTATTTTCTTCCATAGGTTGGAATGCAAAGGTTCTGATGTTGCTATGCAACTTGTGTTGTTTGTCATCATGTCACTCCTCAACTCTCCAAGCATGGAGGAAAGGCAGTCATGGCAAAAGCGTTAGAAATATCCTGACCTTACTTTTCTCAATTGTCTGAAAACAGAAATGCTACATTCTGTTTCCACAGTCATCTGGGATGTCCTATAGTATATGAGCACCCTCAACAGGTAGGGATAAGGATCAGGAGAGAAAGGAGTGGGGCTCACCTAGGCACCTAATATCTGTCCTTCACCAGAACAGTGAGAAACAATGCCAAAAAGTCTTACAGAGCCATATTGTTTGCCAGAGGAGTAATGGGAGATTAACAAGTTATTGCCTGCCTTTACTCTGTGTGATTTCTATAGTATGCAGTGTATAAGAATAATGAGTAAATTAAATGCACAAGGATCAATGCACAGACCTTCTTGAGGGCATTAGATATTTTTAATGAAAGCTCAGAAGAGTCATACCTATAGTTAAAAAGAATATATTGCTAAGACTAATAGCTTGAACATCAACTTCTCACTGTCTGGAAACAGGAAGAAACTTCACCTTAAGGCAAGTTGTTTTGTAATTATTCCTGATGAGGTTCCTTGAACCTACCTTTTTAGTGTCAGTTGCTGGAGAGCCTCCCAGACAGATAATTGGATCTGCACCAGTATGTCAGTTAATGTATTGTGCTGCCAAAGAGCATGTCGGGCAAGCAAGTTCCCACCTATACCGCTTTGGCAGCCAAGTGAAATTCTCAGCCAGGAGCTACATGCCTGTGCACTCCCTGCCTCACTAAGCTGTGGCATGTTTATTCTGAAACAGGCCCTGCTCACCAGAGTGTTCAAAGACAAACATGTAAACTAAGATTTTTGCATCCATACCTGAAATGATGTTGAGGAAAGACTCCATGATGGTCTGACTTACAGAGGGATTTCTGTGTTTTGAACCTGAGTATCCTCAGTGCACATGCAGGTGAAATGGCTTGCAGACCCTGTTTGGGGTTTTGTTTGTTTGTTTGTTTGGGTTTGTTTGTTTTTTTTAATTGAAGGATGTAAACTTAGTACAACATGATATTAAGGCTAATTTAGGGAGCATAAGCTGCTTCATGGAGAGAAATGCTGGAAGAGGCTGTCTGTTTAGTACAAATATATTCAGCACTTAGGGCTATCTAGAAAGAAAGAAGCTGATGTAGCTTCCTTAGTCCTAGAAAATTCATATGTTATGAAGTTGAACGAAACCTCTGGGTGTGGTGGGAAATGATGAGCAACACCAAGGAACTCACCTTTAATAAGCAAATAAGGATAGAACTGTCCCCACCACTGGATCTTCCTTGGTCAGGAATTCCAGCCAAGTCTACCTGAGGGATACACTAAGTGAAGGCAGCCAGACTGAATCCATTCAGCCTTTGGCTTGCTTTCTCACCGGTCAACTACGCAGTTTTTTTAAAGATGCAGCTAGGCAATAGATCTGGGTTCAAGCCAGAGATCTGGGTTCTTTCCTTTTCCTGAAACCAGGTGATGCTAGAAGAGCAGTGAAATCAGCTGATCACATTTTCCATGCTAGCAACTATTCATGGGTACCGAGCACCCTGAGGATTGCAGACCACATGTAAATTTGAATCTTTGGATATCATTAAAAGACAGTATGGAAGAGCAAACCTCATGTCCAACTAAAAAGCTAATCTAATCCTTCACTTTTCAAATCTGTGGAAAAAATGGCACCTGTGTCAGAATTTACATTTTGTTGTGGCATTCAAGGTCATCGTGCCGTGTGTATGAAGCTGTTCCACTTCAGTGTTACTGAAAGGGCTGCACTGAGTTAATGAGAAATCACTGTCTTCTAGACCTTGCCGATCTGTAACTGGGGCCTGTTCAAAGAGGAATCACGCCCCCTGGTGTGCTGAAATACAGAGCTGCTCTCAAAAAGCCTTGGAGCTTAGCTATTTCATTTCCCTTTTTCAGGTGATAAGAAAACTCTCTTCTTGAAATATTCTCAGTTGAAACATGCAGATTCATGAAAACATGTCGAGATTTCTTTCTGGTTTCTTCCATTATCTTTCTTCCTTGAATGAACAGAGTAATATAATGTAATGTCTTCTAGGCAACTGTTTTAAAAGCAAGTCACAAGTATGAGTGCAATGGGTTGGCATCTATGCCTCAACTAGTTAATACAGTTTGGTCTGTTATTTATATCTCATACAAGACCAAGTGTACTTAGCTAACAGTGATAAAGCTGTTTGCTTCTTAAAGTTAATCCCTTAAATTCAGGCCATGCTAAGTAAGGTTGGGTTTTTTTACAGTGACTCTAGAAATCATACATGCTGCTGGCTAATACTAGAATTTTAGTTACATCTGTACAACTCTCTCTCTCTGCATTTTGGTAACTTTTAGCCAAACCTATACTGCCCGATCTGTAACAGATTGATCATTTATAAACAATTCTGTTTCTGAGAACAGACTCTAGTCCTCTTTGAAGTGTACTAACTGCAAGTGAACAGGAGATTAAAAATAAGAAAATCAGGTTTACTCAGACAAATCAGCTAGTTCAACAGACATGAATGAGAAGGTACTATCTGAAATAAGCTATTTAAAAATAGATGTATTCATGTTGCTCTGTTAAAAAGGGCAGTAATTATAATATAACCTTACTGTCTCTATTATATGTTGTAAAACTGTTGCTATTTTAACCTGTCATCTTTGTGAACTAATAACAAGAACAAACTAATAACAATAACAATAATAACAATTATCATGATAAAAAAGTGTGGGTTTCCCCAAAGAAGAGGACTACAGTAAGAATAGTCAACAGCTGAGTTGCCTGCAGTTTGTACTGAGAAGCAATGGTTGGATTTTTTTGGACAGGTAAAATATTAT